ATTTCGTGATGCATAAAATTTTCAAGATGTGAGCTCAGTCAGAAAAAATTACTTCGATAGGGAAAAACACTGCTCAGGATGCGGGAATGTCGACTTTTAAATAGGCGTCTTACCAGGTATCAGCAAAAGTAAAACGCGATAAGATATTCGCCTAAGTAGTCTGCCTTTCCTGCCGATTTTCGATGCGCTTATAAATTCAGACATATTTTGTGTAAAGGTAAACAAAGGTCCATATTTTTCCGTCCGGTTGGTGGAATAATTGGTATTATTCAAATTCAATACCTAAGAAAACGGTAACTTTCGGTCCCAAAATGTTTGTGATCGTGAGATATTTTGCGGCTGGGAAATTTACACCGGCGTAGCATCGTTAGTATCCCTAACGAAGCCTACACCGTGGTTCATATCCATTAAAATACTCAATGATTTCTTTATGCTCATATCGTAGTAGCGTAGTAGTATCGTAAAGTTCGTCCCAGGTTAAAGGTATGAAATGCGCATTTTTAAACTCCAGACCCAAATAAAAATGTATTTTAAATCTAGAAATCGTTAGGTTTATTGCTTGCTTTCTTGTGGACTTAAATATGGGTGTACTGCAAGAGTAATGTAATGAGTATGGCATGCATTGTATTTTTGAACTCAGTGCCAGCAAAGTCATTTTGCCCTTTTGGCCATAAAATTTACTGAGGTGAACTCTACTTTCTGGGCACTTAAAAACACCCACGCTTAGCCACCACACATTTTTGTAGGATTACTTTCGGAAATCGCTGGATCTATCCACTGAAGTGATTTCGGTTGGAAAGTTAAATGTTAAGTAACACACCAGACACCAGAGAAATACCCATCAGTTTCCACCGACATATACCCGGATGTAATAGTTTTTCGGGCCTTAACATATAAAAGCGTCCGCTTGCGCGACTGGGACTTGGAGTTAACCAGAATCGTTCGATTACTCTGCTTTAATACGTACCTGAACTGGTAACCTATTTTGCCAGATAAACTAGCCAGAATATGAGGTACTGCGTTCTAGGTCCACCGCCCCCTAGCCTAGCCTAGACCCCTCCCCTGGCCAGGCTCTCATAGTTACTCAGTTAAGATACCATCAGCCGAAGCAGGGGAGAGAGAGAGGGACGAGTGCCCTGTAGGCAAGGGAGAGAGAGAGACAGCAGAAACCGGTTCCATAAACGACCGTAATGGTTCCAGCGATAACGCCTGCTGCAGCCTCCGCACGCTATTATGCCAGCCAGAAATGTATCGTGCGTGCAGGTACGGACCAACGTTTGTGTGAATGCTGCCTGATTATGCTGCAGTGAGCGCCGACGCTGTCGTCGCCTGCATCAGCCAACTAATGTGTTGTTGGCTCACGTGATACATGCAATTGGCCAGTTGGCGCGAGTTAACTGCTCTAGCCTGAGCACCAATCAGGCGTCGGCTGATGACCTGGCAGTTGGCCCGATCGCACGCAAGTCCATTTCATCACCTCGGCGGCCTCAAAGCGCGCTGAGTGTTTGACGACTCTAGGAATTACATTTTGCAATGCGAACTCTACACGAGTATGTGGATTATCCAACCGGTGATTCCCCTGCGTCCGCTTCTGTCAAAGATGGTCAGAAACGAAATTTTAGCCTGGATGAGGACTGGGAAAGGCGTTATGATGACCTACTGGACGATATGAATAATTTGTACAACAATGAAACTTACGCGGGCAAGGACTCGGGGATGGCATTATTCCCTAAAGAAAGCCCCTTCTATTATATGGAATATTACAACCAGGATAGGCGAAAGGTCCCACCAGGTAGTTAAACACTGATTAATTGTTTAACAGCTTTTTCTAATACCGAACCGTGACGTAAATGCCATCCAAATGAATAACATGGGCGTTTTATAAAGTTAAAAAGAGTCTCCTGGCCGCGCAGGCAGCAGTATGTAGCCAGATGTTCACGGTCTTCACACATTAAGCCATCTTGATAAAATACAACCCAATAACTCATGAATGTTATGCTTTATATGGGTAAGATGTGTCCTTTATCGATTTTGTCTAAATTGTGTTTCAATTATCACTTGAACTATTTTTAAAAGGTGAAATGCAAGTGCTTAGATCCCCAAACGCTCATTGTTGAGGCATATCTGCTGGCCGCGCGTGGATTGCGAAGGAACTATTCCGACGACCTGTTTTTTATAAAATATCTTGCGACCTATTCTAAGCTAGGGTAGGTGGGCTAACTCATGAAATGCCAACCGAAATTCCCAATTGCGTTTTCGTTTCAAAAAGATTAGTTAAGAAGTTTGACAAAACTAGTCAGTCTGTAACATAATTCTATAATTTTTCAGTTACCTTAGGATGCTTGCCTTTGAAATAACTCCCTTCCGGCTACATTCAAAAACTATACTCTGTAAAAAACGACTACTTAAGTAGCATGAATATATCTCATTAATTTTAAATGCCCTTAAAATTTTAATTATATTTCATTGAAAACATGCGTAAAAATATTCATTCCTTTGTTCACTGGGCAGAACAATTACGTCTTTTTCCAATCTTTTCCCCGAAGGAAGCTCAAAATTCGGCTTCGAAAAACCTTTTCAGTTCCCCAATAATTTTGAACCCGCTCTACCGTTACCCTTGCATTTAGGGTTTTTAAACCACGAGCCACATAATTTCCGCATAGGAAAAACCACACATTTCTAAACGGTAATAAAGGAGAACCATATAGGGTTCGTAAAATTTATCAGTGGATTTGATCCATATTGCAAACTTTACAAGCCACATTGTAAATGCAAAAACATGACGACTTATGAACGGTCATTTTACGGTATTTAAAATTCCCAGTTAAAAACTTTTTTAAAACCGAATTATGTCCCTTTTTCGAGCATAAAATTAAAAAACACGTATGTTTCTACCAAACTTGCGAAAAAATGAATATTTTCTGCACGTTTTCCATAAAATATGATTGGCCTTGTATGGATATCTAAAATTAATGGGAAAACGTCATGCTACCTAAGCAGTCATTTTGTACAGATTAGAGTTTTTGTATGCAGCAAAGAGGAAGTTTTTTCGAAAGGAAGCATCCTGCGGTAACTAAAACATTATAGAACAATGTTACAGACTGACTAGTTTTACAACCATACTTAATTATTCTTTTCGAAACGAAAACGCATTTCAGAATTTCGGTTGACATTTCATAAGTTAGCCCACCTACTGTACATATAAACTTCATTCAAATCTTAAAGTAACTGAACACCAGAATAATGGTGGAATTCAGAATAACAATACCGCAATGGACATTCTTGCGCTTCTTTTAACTGCTTCAGTGTTTGCACTTTTCTGGTCACGCGTAACGGTAGATAGTTCTGCTGCACAGGCTTTGTTATTTCGGTAGTTTATTTCTGTTTTATATTAGAGTTACATTAATACCGAGAAATGTCTGCTAAGTGTCCTATCCAGTAGAGGCAAGACTAAGCCGTGGATATTCATATATCTTAGGAAGCGGGTGTAAATGTTGCAACGATCTCACCTGCGTGTGCCAAAATCCTCGCAACCTTGTTTCGTGATGCGAATAATATTTTCAATGGTTATTTCATAACAAAACTTGACAGGCAAAGTCTTACCGTACAAGCTTCCGTTAAGAGCATGTGCACGCCCTCCGTTTATTCATTATGACCAACTGAAGTGACTGGTATATAGGCGTGGTGCATGCCGGTCCTTATTATGCGGCTGTAAGTGAAGTAATGATTACTGAATGCAATAGGAAATTTTGGCCAGAGTAGCTTTAAGTTAAAAAGTTTAATTTTTCTGTCGCAAAATGGATTTGCTCACTCTGTATTTATAAATACTTGTTAAATACGCAATTGCTCTGTCAATAAACAGTGCAATCACCTGATTAAATTCAGGTTTAAATATATACTTACCTGATGTTTGTATGCGTGTGACTCATCGACATACGTAGCATTGTCATAATAGATTGCTGCCATCCCTCCTTCATAAAATTATGTAAGATGAAATTGTTGACAATAAATAAAAATGTAAAAATTCTCCGGTGTGTTAAAAGTACTATTTAGTATGCATGCGTTTGCTACTGACTGTCACCCCCTTCTACGTCTCTTTTTAACTAAAATAAATATCATTATCTGATTAAAATAATAATGACTGACTCTAATTATCCGCCTAAATGTCCTACCTGCTTATTGTCTAAGAGGATAAAAATTGTTCGGTTTCTCTACCAACCTCCATGCTTTTCTTTACCTTGTAAGCATAAATACTCACTGGCCTCATGAGAAGTTACCAAAAGCAGACGCATTTTCTTCAGATACTTCTCTTAAATATTTCTTCAGCAAAATGGTTAACTTTCAAAATCTACTTTTGCTGTCGACAGGTCTTTAAGTATATTCATTTGTTTGTTTGCGACGATCAGTTTACAATGTTCTTACACAGACTGTGTTTAATTAGTTTACTGAAACAGATAGCAAACATTCCAAGAGATGTCATTATTTATATGCGTACTACATTTTGTTGGCCAAGCAAACTTAAATATAGTGGGCGATCTGTCATTAAAACATAACTGACCCATAGTAGTGGCCTTCATTGAACTTAATTTACGATCAGTTTGGTTGTTGTCTTAGAAAGATAGACAGACAGAATGACGACGCGAGGGGTTAGACGGTTTATGGTTGAATCATTACGTGAAAATAAGAGTGTACATAATAGGCCGGATAAAAATTTATCGAAAGCATGCGTATGCTCGCCAAATGCCTTAGTCCATTACCATTTTGTCAAAAAACGGATAGAATTGCCTCTACGCGAACACGTGTACATTATATCCGGAGGTACTTTTATTCACATATATATCCCGTGAATACAAAAATTGTGTGTTAGAAAGAAAATTTGTCTAGGCATGAAAAGTGATGTATGCAGGTCCATAAGTGTGAACTCTGTCCCTTTCAATATCTACATACCGACCAAAATGCTATGACGCAGGAATCTCATAAATGCCTAAACTAAGTCAATGCACGATGTGAGATAATACGTCTAAGTGCGACTATGCTCAAAGTTTTGGCGTAGGAAATACCGTAGAAGTGCTTTAGTGGCGCATATTATTCCAGTGATCAGTTCTGTTTGAGCTACTTTTCAAAATGTCCGAAGGTTAAATAAATGCAGAAATCTTCCAATTGAAGAACAATGCCCAAAACTTAAATACAGCTAGGCACATTCGCGAATTGTGAGACAGTCGTATTCTGGGAGGGAGGTAGCTGCTAAAATGTTTTCCTTAATTGCTTTGCATAATTTACAAGCCTACAAGATTTTAAGAAGCCTATGTCCATATTTCTGAAAATGCAGATTAGACCAACACTTAAGATTTGTTGAATTCGTGCGATTTTATCATCTAGTACTGCTTTACTGCACAGTATTTTCCAACGCTAAACGGCTGCCGAGACAGCGTGACTTCGCCAGTGTGGGATATCAAATCGTGCAGCAGGCGGGTGTGTAGAGAGCGTCAATTAATGAAAATACTCAAGCAAGCGCCTCTTGCTCCTGTGGGAGCTGCTTTTCGTATTCAAGTGTCATTTCGTTCATTTCCCAGCCGGCTGACAGAAAATACACGAGCAAGCCTTTGAATTGTTTCTTTACTAGAATGTAAGAAAAAATATTGTCCCATCCAATGGGTTCGTAGGATCATGCAGGCACCTAGCAATTAGTACAACCTCATACAGGCTTGTAGCCATGGCATGAAGCTTACAAATCTTTCATAAACATACCCACTCCAGATAGCAGCAGAGTTCCCTTTCCTACTACGTTCTTTCATGCATCATTAGCCCCCAAATTAAGGCGCTCGTCGGTATTCAAAAGAAACATTTCCGGTTACATTTTTCATGCACACTACTCTGTAATTTTCGCCTTGCCGCCGGTCACTAGAAAAATGTTCAAATAAGATTCATCAGGTAAATTTAAAAAAAATCAATCAAACAGGATTCATCTTTGTCGTATTAAAAACTCAAAATGCGTATGACTTAAACAACTTCATTTTTCCCTCAGTGGCATAAAGCGACGCTGGAATGAAAAACTGCAAATAATAACTGCCTAAAAATCCTTCAATGTAGTCATTTACTTTTGGACTATTTTAAAGAAAACTGCTCCTCGTATTTAAGAAGGCTAAAACATTTTCAGAAGGTAAACCGTCATTGAGAAAGTTTTATTTTCCCAACAGAACAGAAACTGTCAAGCAGAGAACCCACTCGACATGAAGTTGCAAGCGCGACACTATATTGCAGCCTTAAAACGTAAATGTTTTATGCTTACGTAAGCGTTCACATGACAGATTTAGTAAACTAAAATGCGGTTTTGGTTTTAGCAGTAAAAAGAGCCCTCCATTTAAGCCTGTAATATACAGTAGATTGCTATTATATGAAACATCAATTTAATTTCCAAAATGCGTTTTTAATTCAAAACGCTTACTTGAGTACAAGGTCATGTTAATTGTCTTATCGCATAAGTCCAAAATATACCGAATATATACTACTATTCCGGTTTTCAAACGGACACCTTGTCCACCGCTTGCAAAAGCCTTACTCCTCCAAAAATGTCTACTGAAGTATTATGAACGTTTAATACTTATTTTTGACATCGTTGTAAATTCAAATAAATATTACAGAAAGTGGGGACAAAAATATTATTTCTATTGCTCGTTTTGTAGCACATCACGTCTTCTGCAAGTTTCATGCTTGATAAAAAAATATGTCAGTCCAAGAATAGTTTTTATCACGCGGTCTTTCAAGATCCTGAAATACTCACTTGTAAAGCATCGCATTAGCATAGTTATTAATGCTGCTTATCGAATGGACGACGCGGTCCCCATCCTTTGTACATCGCATATCGAAATTAATTAGTTTGGTTACATGGAATGAGTGCAGCTTGCGATCCAAAGACCCGGAATGTAAGTGTAGCGCCAAAGTGAATTAAAAATTAATCGGTTAGTAAGAACGTTTAGTCAAACTTAAATTATTCCCCCTTATCAAGTCAAGAATTTGTCGAAGACGAAATTTGCTAACAAACATCAAATGAAGGAATATGTTATGCATGTTTCCTGAGAAATATTTTCAAATGTTTACCGTTTTTAAAAACGTGAAAATACAATCCTGGCAACCCTAAGTAAGTAAAATTTTTGAATCAGAGCCGAATTTCAAAAAATAAGTCAACGTTTCTTGAGATTGTGCATCTACTGAATCATTTTCGATTCTTCTGTCGTTCATCGGCACCTACTGCTACCTCTGTCCTAGGTGGAGATTTCTTTAATGTCTAGAAATAACGATTTTATATATATCTCTCTTCCCTATTTCCCGGTTTCAAAACAGAGTGGCCGCAGGTGGCCGGCACGGCAGTACTCAGGCGTGCCACCGCACCCCCTGGTCCATAACATAAAGTAGGTGAGCTAACTCATGAAATGTCAACTGAAATTCCGAAATGTGGTTTTGCTTCAAAAAGACTACTTAAGTATGGTTGTAAAAAACCATCTTGCAGCCTAATCCAATAATATTTCAGTTACTTCGGAGTGATGGCTTTTGAACAACCCCTTTCCGGCCGCATGCAAAAACTATACTAGGAAAAAATGACTTCTTATGTGGCATGCATTTCTCTCATCGATTTTGATGCCCCTAAAAGTCCAATTATAGGTTATGGAAAACATGCATAAACATGCTTATTCTCCTACTCATTCGGTAGAAAATTACGTTGTCTTTCAATTTGATACTCGATGGGGGGGCGTAATTTGGTTTTTGAAAGTTTCTAATTGTGAGACTTTTAAAAACCCTGAAATAGCCTTTCATAAAACGTCTTGTCTACCAGTGTGGATTATGAAGTTAGCAATATGGATCAAAACGAATGCTAAATTTTATGCACCCTATATAGTTCCCTATTAATACGGCAAAGAAATGTGCGGTTTTGTACGTACGCGGCAAATACAAGACGTGAAGTTTGGAAGCCCCAAATGCTAGTGCGGTTTCAAAATTATTCGGGAAATGGAAAAGTTTTTGAAGACCGAATTTTACCCTTCGATTAAGTATAAAATTATCCGAAGACTTGGTTTTCTACCGAATGAGCGGAAGAAAAAGCAGTATAATGCATGCTTTCCATGAAATATAATTGGAATTTTAGCGGCATCGAAAATCAATTTGAAAAATCCATGTTACTCGACTAGTCATTTTTACAGCGTATGGTTTTTTGCATGCAGCCGGAAAGAAGTTCATTCAAAAGCCGACGTCCTGAGGCAACTGAGCTTTTATAGAATTTTGCTGCAGACTGATCAGGTTTACAACCCTACTAAATTAGTCTTTTCGAAACGAAAACGCGTTTCGGAATTTCGATTGACATTTCCTGACTTAGCCCACATATTGTACACTCAACAAAGTTCTTCACCAACAACAACAGCGGGAATGATGACTGGGAAGCCATGCCCACCACCCGTATAAGCTGCGGGAGCGCAAGGGCACTTGCCGGCAGGGAACCAGGCGTGAGGGAACTGCCAGCGCATATTAGACTGCGAGGATCATGAATTGCTGATACTGGCATAGCTCACGCATTCCAACTTTTTGACAAAACAACACGTGGCAGAACCCGTAATTGGATTTAATCATAGATTTTTGGGAGGACCGGTAGTGGATAGATTGAAATGCAAAAGGGATGTAGTCTGTCCAACCATTAAACAGTCTTGCTGGCAAAACTACCCTCAAATACTTTTCGCAAAGAGAAGGCCTTTTTGACAGAGCGCCCGCATCCGAAGGAATGTCAGGGAATGCGCGCGCTTGTTCGTGACAGTCCTCGTCTAATTCACTAAACAGTGAATGGAAAATCAGAGTGGCGGCATCTAAAACTGCTGGCGTTTGCTTTTTGTACAAGTGACGAAGATTCCCTGGGAGTGAAGAAGGAATCCAGTCGTGTCTATCTGCCTATTTCTCCAGAAAATCTTAGAAAAGGTGGTGAAAAAGCAATGCAGCAGAAGCATTTGTGATCTCAATTAAGATGCATTTCAGGCGTAGGAACAGTTTTCACAGTATGCAAACATAAATGCTCTAAAGTCGTGTGGAAATATTCATACATAGATGACAGAATATATACAGTGTTTAATAATCCCGACCTCGGGCGATCACACAAAGAGCTCGGGAAGAAGTTGATAGGGCATAGAATTTAATGCCAATTGATGATCAGAGAGGGCTGATTTACGTCGTAGGATTTGCGCAACTACGTTTAGTGAGACTGGTTGTTGACGCGTTATAAGTCCGTGCTGATCGTCATAGTCTCCCTTGCATTTGTCTGTGATCCTTATATAGGTATGTAGTAAAAAGGTAAAAGTGCTGGATAAGTGCGAATTTAATAATGCAACCCGTCGAACGTGGTCCCCTATTGCACACTGTCAGACTATTTGTGTGTCAAAATGATTAATTCATCAACGGTGCCTGATGAAGAATTCAACGATTAATCAAAGTGCGTACCGAATTGCTTCATTTGCATTTTATCCCTTCGTTGGGATCAATTGTTTCCGCTTGAATTCGGGCTTAATGACTATGCTTGTTGAATATAGATCAGTATACCGATTGATCCATGTTAGTATCTGAACTAGTTGAAATGCAGCCAGAAACATTAGATATCATGGCAAGCCAGCCAGTAAATACCTTAAACTCATGGTTTGCACACCCTAAGGACAGGCTCGGCTTTTTCAACAGAAAAGGTGTTCTCTACAAAATCTAATGTATAAGTTATGATGTCATCTATTGTGGCCAAATCAGGTACTCCGTCTCAAGTCGTATAATTGTACATCAGTTAGCGGCGTAAGGACTCGACCACCCAGCCCAAGTGGCTCTGAAAGCATTAAAAATTGGGCTCGGACCTTCGGGGGAGGACATCCGGATTGTTGGCAAATGAAAAGGTTGCGAATTCCTGGAAGCAATGCACTCAGATGAGGCATGCGTCCATTGGCATATCGATCTAGATGTAATACAAAATCACTAGAGACAAATTCAAACTGGGCCGACCATTCGCAAAGAGGTAGCAAGATGCAACTGAAACGTAATGGTATAGACGTTTACCAATTATTGAATGCTTTGTTAAGGAACAATAAAGGAGTTGATTGTTTTTGCCCAATTGCAGTCTGACGATATGCAATAGGCACCAGCCACAAAAGTTTTCAAAATAAGTATTGCAATCTCCCAAAGAAATTCATATTTTTTATCGAATATCTTAGGATACCGTTTTTCAATTCATACAAACGTATATATCTATTTTTGTTTTTGTACACTGTCATCCTGTGTGTAATAGCAGTTGTTCTATGATTTCCTCCGGGGGATCTTGATTGAGTCAGTAAATATAAGTATGTCAGTGTGCCCCTTAACCTACTCGATAGACTCCTTTCTACAATAACATAGTATTATGCAACATAGCATTAGTACTCCATTTATTGTGGGATAATTAGCTTCATACGCAGTCGTCTCTGATAATGAGACGGAGTAAGGTGGGGTTTTTCCTGCATTGACCGCATCTTCCCTCTCTCCAATACTTTAAATGTCGGGCAATTTTAGCTTGGTCAAAGGAAAGCCAATAGAATCCTGGATTTAAATAGTATCAGACAAAAACCACCCATCGCAGTTGTCGTTGAGCCACAATCGCTGTTTAGATCTTGGTGCCAGGTGTTGTCAGGCTCAGAGAATGGCGATGTCAGTTTTCCTTAAACGCGTCTTAATCCACATCAGGTCCCATCGTCCACTGAGGTAATTCCGCATCTCGACAGTCGGAGTTGAGATGCATAAGTCGAAGACTAAACATAGCATCACACCGCATGACTGACGATACGAGAGTTCATCCATTTGTTACCATTTTTAGACGAACTCTGACAGTAATCAGTTTAGCACGTAGGCATAAATTGTAGAAAAGTGTTTTACGACATTCCAAATGCTTCCTGCATTTAGAGGGAATGAAATCAAGTTCAAGCAAAACCAATTATTTGGGGACAGCTGGTATTGAAAGCTATATTTAAAATTTGGTAAGAAATTCATTAATTAAGTGGTCGGCCAAAACTACAATCTCTTAAACCATTTGCAGCAAATAGAACTCCCAGTGGTTAATGCGAGAGGCATGTAGTGCGATGCCAGCTGCAGCTTATAAAAACTACACTCTTTCCGTCCATCGTAAGTGCCTGCGACTGACTCTCGTGGTAAATATGAGTGAACATCCGTAACTCTGGACATTAGGAACTTCGCATCTCATTCTTCTGACAGGGTTAATCGGTCCAAGGTAGGGCACATGAGTGAGCACCACCGTGCGCTGAATTCCAGGAGGGTTAGTGTTGGGGTTTTGGTTATAAGACTGAGTAATGAGTTAAGGATGGAGTCAGGACACGGAGCATGTGTCCCTGGGAAATATTATAAAGCCACGTGTAATATAAGTGGTTCTCTCACCCATGTCAATCTCGTCAAAGCTGATACGATGTTGCAGCAAAAGGAAACATCTGAAGATAAGCGTTTATAAATGCAAGTATGCATTGACGCCTGCGCAGCAGTGAAAACTCAAGTTTACGATAAATTTACCGAATTACAGGTGGAATTAAACAAACAGGATCAAGTAAAAAGTCATCTTTTCGCATGAAGACATTTTAATTAAGTTATAATTGTACGATTAATGAGCAATTAGACCAAGCGAAAGACTTTGCCCCATGGGGTGAACAGGTCAGACTATGTTGTCCGATGGGATTGAAGTCGACACATAAAGACTTCAAATGTATTTGGAAGTAGAACGTAGCCACCAAAAACAGCGGGGGTATCTATCCAGCCTACTACGTAGTAAAACAAAAGCTTACCTCCGGCATACCACTCACTATTGACAAGAGGAAGAATGCCCGGAGCGCGGTCGCCTTTTGGTATTTGTCGGTTCTGACAAAAGCAACAGGAGGTCGACGGCGCGTTGTTACGTTAAAATATACCAAAGTCTTTATCGCTGATCAACTGTAGACGAAGTTTTTGCGTTTTAGGGTGATCTTTTGGCCATAAAGGGGGCCCCTGTGTTGCGACTGCATTCTAATCATAAATCACCTCTGCGCTATGTAGTTGATAAAAAAATGAACATGCATTGGTAGGAAAGGGACGGGACATTGGTAGAAATTTAGCCATCTGACGTTTAATGTAGAGTACAAGCCATTTTGTCGTATTTTAGTGCTGTGCACGTTACCTATATACATGATTTGGAGATGGATCCATGTGGTCGTATATGCAATTTATTTGGTGCAATTAGTACACACGTACAGTAGATGTGCTAACTCATGAAATGTCAACCACAATTTCGAAATGCATTCTCGTTTCGAAAAGATAAATTAAGTAGTGTTGTAAGACTAATCAGGATGCAGCATAAATCTATAATGATGCAGTTACCTCAGGGTGTTGGCTTTCGAAGGAGCTTATTTTCGGTTGCATGCAAGATCTATTGTCTGCAAAAATGACTACTTACCTAGTATGTAATTTTCTCATTGATTTTCGATGCCCATGAATATTCAATGATATTTCATGTAAAACATGAATAAATATATTCATTCTTTTACATATTCGGTAGAAAACAACGTCTTCTTCCAATTTAATACTCAACAAGTGTATAATTCTGTTTTAAGAAAGTTTTTAATTGTGAGATTTTTTAATACCGTTAAATAGCCGTTCATAAAACGTCATGCATCTGCATTTACGAATGTGACTTATAAAGTTCACAATATTGCTCAAATCCACTGCTTAATTTTATGAACCTCATATGGTCTCCTCTTAACACTGTAGATAAATGCATGGTTTTCCGTAAACGGAAAATATACAGCTTGTAGTTATGAAACCCTGAATGCAAGTGTAACAGCAGGTCGGGTTCATAATTATTCGGGAATTAGAAAAGTTTTTTAAACCGAATTATTCGCTTCTTTTGAGTACGAAATTGGAAGATGACGTGGTTTTCTACCGACTAAGTAAAAGACTGAATATTTCTATGCATGCTTTCCATGAAATATAATTGAATTTTCAAGGTCATCGAAAATCCATGAGAAAAGTGCATACTAAGTAAGTAGTCATTTTTGCAAATTATAGATCTTGCATGCAGCCGAAAATAAATTCTTTTGAATGCCGACACCCTGAGGTAACTGGGTAATTATAGATTAATGCTGCATCATGATTATTTTCACAACACTACTTAATTTATCTTTTCGAAACAAGAACGCATTTCGAAATTTTGGTTTACATTTCATGAGTTAGCCGATCTACTGTACATCATAGAGGATGCTGTGAAATTCACTCAAGTCATGACAATTTACAATCCCAGTTTGCAAAAGACAGAGAATATTCAAAGGGCGAATGTTGTCATAGTTAGAAAAAATAACACTGAAAACGCACTATCGACGAGAGTACTTGTAAAGAGCAAGATTTCGCATTGTTTTCGACGACTTTTCCGACGCTTTGCGACTTCTATGCGCAAACCTGCACAAACGAGTAAGGGCGTGACCACCGTCTAATGGCCTGCCACTAAGAGAGCAGTCAAACGTGAAATCCGCGGACTACATGATGTATCTGAGTATTTACTGCCCGTAGTCTCCGCTTTAAAAGTTCATCCTAGAAATGGCGCGCCCTGGCGGTCGGTCTGAAACACACACAACACCGTGCATTTTTAAATAGTTCGTAGCGTTAAAAGCTAGCCCGTGCGTATGCACGTAAAAAAGTCATATAACTGGATAGCATCAACGTGAGCTTAATGTTGTACGTTGTCCTGAAGGAGAAGGCAGACTAGACTCGTCCACCTTACTGTGAAAACATAAAGCTAATGCTGACCTTATATTACGAGTTGTAAGATTTAGTCTATTCAGTTAAAGCAAATCATAACACCACACTGATTGTGTAAGTTTGTGAAAGGACACAAAAACGTCTGCGGCATCACCTGAAATATCAATTCATAAAGCATAATGCTGTTGGAAAAGTACGTATCGCCGTCCACATCTAATGCGAACTTTTGTTAGTTTTTATAAGACATAATGTATTAGTATCGTTTCATGCAGCATATGCAGTTTGTAAATCTTAAAACCTAAATGCAGTACAGCAGCAAGTCAGGTTCAAATCATTGGGCAATTTTTCAGATTCAACGGCATCCGTACGGATTTTTTTAAAAATCAGAGGGTATGACTCCTTTCAGTGATATATTTAAGAGTGGCGTAGTTTTCTATTAGATGAGTGCCGAAAAGGCTATTTTGTGCACATATTCTATAAAAATACTTTCATTTATAAGAGCAAGGAAAGTCGATAAGAAAAACCTATACTTCATACAGTAGATGGGCTAACACGTGAAATGTAAACTTAAATTCGGAAATGCTTCTTCGTTTTGAAAAGGTAAATTGAGCAGGATTGTAAAACTAATCATCTTGCAGCACAATTCTATAATAATTTAGTAATCGCGGGATGCTGGCTTTCGAACGTTTTTTTGACTGCACACAATACCTATTCTGGCAAAAAAGACTACTTAGGTAGGATGCATTTTTTTAATCAATTTTCGATGCCCCTTGAAATTCAGTTATATTTCATAGAGTTACTGCATAACGATATTCATGCTTTTACTCATTCGGTGAAAAAGGACGCCTTCTTCTAATTTCAATCTCGAAGGAAGTGTATGATTCGGTTTTCAAGAAATGTTTTAATTTCCGAAAAATTTTGGACCTAACCAGCTAGGGTTTCAAAACTACCAGCCATATATTTTCCGCGTACGGAAAAATCTACACTTATCTACGGTATTAGGAGGCGACCATATGGAGTTCATGAAAGTTACCAGTGGGTTTATCCATATTGCTATTTTAACAAGCCCCATTAGCCGATGCAGAGACATGACTTTTTAAGAGCAGCTTTTTCATGGTAGTAAAAAAAGTGCACAATCAGAAGCCTTTTTAAATCAAATTATGCCCTTTGATCAAGTACAAAATTGGACGAAGGTGCCATTTTCATCAAACGAGCAAAAGACTGAATATTTTTATGCATGATTTCCATGAAATATAATTGAATTTTTAGAAAATAAGAGGTCAGTGATAAAAAATCATGCGGTTTAAGTAGTGATTTTTTGCGGCGTCAATTTTGTATGCAGCCGAAATAACATTCGTTTAAATTCCGGCATTCTGAAGGTAATTAATGATCATAAAATTATGCCGCAAGATGATTGGTCTTATAATTATTCCTAAATTATCTTTTCGAAACAAAAACGCACTTTGGAATTTCATTTGACATTTCATAAGAAAGGACCGCTTTCTGTGTATAATCTTCTTTTATAAAGAGTAGTTTTCGAAGCTGCCGGAAGGAGGTTCATTCAAACTTTAATACACTATCGTGACTAAAAGCAAGCCATACTTGGTGATTTTCCGTCAAGCCCTAACAACCCGACTTCGGATAAAATGAATGGTATGGAAGGAGATAATCGCAGTGGAGTGCTTGAAGACACAGAAGACCGAGTAACAGACAGACGTTCTTGTAAGGGATGGAAAAAAACATATTACAATGGTAGAATGGTATTACCGACAAAGACAAGGGAGACTGGAATGGCCATTTCTGGCTTATTAGCCGTCGTCAGCCAGCCATACCCAAGCCCGAAGTGTGGAACACCCTATATATCATGCACCACTGTGCGGCTGCTGGTTGGGCTCGAGAGAGAGCCCTTAAGGCACAACGGAACGAGTGAGTTCCGTATGAACGATCGGTGAGCGCCCCCTAACATATTACAATGGTTGCCGGAAGTTGGCGATGGCAATGCTAAAATTGCAGTTGTGGTTCACTGCGCTAGGCAGCTGCCGAATCAATGAGATCCTTAGTGGCCGAGCATGGAGTAGTAGGCATCGTTGTTGTGTGGGCACAGGTCAATCAACCGTGGGCGTAGACCTTCGTATTGAGCGCCAAAGCCGAGAGGGCAGCAGATGCTGTTTGTCCTGGAGTACTAAGCTTTAAGAAATCCTCGGCCTTTTGGGTGTTAGCATTAGTGATCACTTTAGTCCCATTTCAATACAAGCAATAATTGGACTCAAGGGCGTGCTGAAACGCAAAAGGCAAGGGCACCTGTTGGCGAGACGCCAGCTCATGTTCTTTAGTTTTGGCACCATGTCACCGGTCCGTAAAGCCAACAGCAGGTAAGAATTCGGCCTTGTATAATATCATTGATTCAGCACCGCCCCAACATAGTGACCTACAATTTAAACCCTAAACACCCACTAAACATCCTGCATCTTTCAAAATATGCTTCATGCATCCCTTAATGTTGATTTAACCTCTGTGTTTTCAAGCACTCCAATACGTTTATCTCATTCCCACAATTCATTTCGCCCGGCATAGGGTTTTTTGAAGTCAGTGTAATAATTCATAGGTTCAACATGATTTTCCGACAGGGCTTCTCCTTTCATAATATCATCTGAGAATGCACAATGCGTCATCTACTCAATTCATAAATATATATATATATATAGTAGGTGTAATATTTTAGATGAACGGTACATCTCTCGCCCCTCCGAAACCGATCCAAATGTACAGATCAGAGCGTGTTACTTAAAATAAATGACGCTGAGTAAAATTAAAGTATGAAAAAACATGAATCGTAATGTAGCGTTTTTAAGAAATAGCCCTTTATAAAAAATGGAAATGTCGAAAACGCCAAAAACTGCGGGAATTTAATAAGCTTAAATTCAAAAAGCTCAGAAGATTCTGGTGCGCAAATTGGAGGATAAGTAAAATATCGAAAGTAGAATAAAGTTTTAAAATCGTTCTTCATCAATGCTGCTGCCTAAATATACTTCAGGAATTGGGGTGGTGTGACGTATGTTGGTTAGCCAGGGATCGTCAAAACAGATTTCATAAGAACTGTCTGCATTTTTCTGCCTTTCTCACTGATTAGAATGCAAGTGCTTTGGACAAAGAGAATTCTTTTGATTTAATTGGCAGAAACGCAAACGCAGCAAAGGTTTTAATAAGGTCTCATAATAATAGGCTGGTCAAGGATTGCCCCGAACATATCGCCGAAAGCAATGAACTTCCACGACGAAAATGGGTGACAAAGATTCTCTTGGTTACTAAAAAAGTCTTTTGAATAAGTCGCTTCTTTTAAAGCGGCCTTTATAACATACTTAGCTGAGCGACGTCCAGGCAGTTTTCCCCATGTTAGAGGCGAAGTCCAGAAAAACTAAGAAATATTTTTCGGCTTTTCCTTTTTGCTGTCATAAACTGATAATGTCTACTCTGCAAAAGAAACGAGCTCACTTTGCCTTTTACACTGGAGTCATTTTCACTATCTTTACTTACCTTAAGGCTTTGATCCACGATTCCAAATGCACAACTGTGTGGCACATAAGTACCAACTATGGCGAAAACTTCTAATGCCTTTACATTTTGTATCATTAATAGCGTACAAGCAGACACTTGGCCATATAACAATCATATGAACATATATTGCAAAACTAACTTGGCTGTTTTGTGTCTAACCAGTTTACGGTTAGGTAAGCGTAATTACTGAGCTTTGAGGTAGGGAAACAATAGATTTACAAATCTTCCCTTTTTGCAAGAAAATTGCGTTTTTTCATACACAGTTTTAACTGAGTTTACTAAACTAAAGGACAATTTTCAAGAGTGACGACTTTTTGGGTAAGAATAGCAGATATTCATTACTCTCCTATAGGATAGAAGCGGGTAGGAATGCACAAACGTAATCTACGACGGTCATTAACGTAAGGAACTTCAAGAATATATAGATTCGTTGATTGGCACTCAGCTCAGGGGACATTTTACCTGAAAAAGCCACCCGGAACATACTCTGTGTATGAAGGGCATTTGTCGGAACAGGTGAGACAAATATGCCATTTGTGCAAAGTTATAAATCCATCAACGCGACCATTTAGATGGCCGTCATAACGTTTCTAGAAAAGGACAAATTCTGTACATACAGGATGGAGCGATGCAGGGCACAAGAGGGATCGGGATGTTATCTTTCGTCTGTCAGTAATAACCAAATATAGTTTGTAAGATCGTAACCTTGTATCCAGATTTTTAGATTATTGGACAATATGTAGGCGACTCTGCTACCCAACCAGAGCCGCAGTCTTGTCAGTTGCGATGGAAAGCAATAACAATCGTAGAAAGTGCGCCCGCCCTTTAGGTTGTTGGACATATTTCTTCCGTTAAACCTCAGGGTTCAATGATAAATTGTGAGATTTAATACTTGACAGATTCTTTTTTTGCGGACTTTGCTCTCTGCGTAGTCGTCTGGCGATATCTACTAAGCCGAAACTGGCTATACATGCAACCTGAACGGTTAATGCACTTATACGGATGTATATGTATATAAACACATACGCAGATTGCGTGTTTTCTCAAATCATATTCGGCCCCTAATTCGGCCCCCTAATCCCTTATAGAGGAACCGAGCCTGGACACTCAAGTGACCTCCGCGACGCCCTTCGTCAGTCGCCTGCCGGAACTGACGGACTACGAAGCCGAACACTTTCCAGAACCCGTCAAGCCCCTGCTGCCGCTCAAGGAGACGGAAAGCGCGAAACATCATCAACAGCAGCGTGATTTCCTCCTGACCACTCTACTTCCAATATGCGCGCTTATCATACTCGTCCTGATGGTAACCTTGGTGGTCATTTGGTTCCTGAAGTTCCGCGGAGGCAGTAAGAAGAAGGAGAAGAAGGAGGCCGTGGCGAACGAGGCGCAAGAACCCCTCGCGATGACTGAGGACAAGTGGTCTGGTAAAAAGAATGGCATCTCGAGCAAACTTGACACGAATCACGACAAAACGCGTATGTTTCAAACCCCGTAGTGAAGGGCGTGCTTTACTTATCAATGACGCGCAACCTGAACTACGTGGAGATATTTCATCAGTTTTTTACAAAATTTAGCGTGGATTTCCGCGGTTGCGTGAATAATTGCCAGCCGTAAGTACATTAAAACACTCAGCACGAAGTCTGTATTGCGCAGAGTAGCTAAGGCTCAAGAGTATAGGTGGCGGGCTTTCGAAACAAGGACCAATGCAGCTGCAAATATGACCATGTCTTCGCTTGTCTGGAAACCCAAAATTACGA